AAACAACAAATGGCCAACATGCTATCACAACAGCAGCAACAAGAACAGGTAAAACCATTTTGCTGTATAAATATTTTATTCATTTCGGAGACATATGTTTTCATTACAATTGTAAGTTGGATATACTTTTTAATGAGATGATTAATCATTTTACATTCCTATTTTCGTTACAAATTAGGATCGAAGCAGTATGACATCAACACCAAATTCACAACAGCCATCGACATCAAATGCGGCTGTCAATAAATCAACATCGAATGCAATGACCGTGCAAACTAGCAAAATATTATCAATAGGATGCGGTAGCTCGAATAAAAAGCTGGTATGCCAATCTTGTGGCTATAATACTGGTCATAGTGGACACTTTTCAGTTCACATAGCACAAGGATGCCATTCTGCGTCCGCTGAAAAATCTATGAATTGCCAAATATGCTGCATGCCTTTTACTTATAATAATCTACGTTATCATTTACGTCAGTATTTGAAAGGTTCTTCGCGTGCAAAAAATGGTCATCAATTTTTTACATCGGAACAGCATAAAACTTTGTTGAACAAAATTAAGGAACAAAAACAATTCGAAAAACAAGAAAAAAAAGAACCGAAAATAAATGAAAAGCAGAAAAAAATATTTTGATTTACAAATTAAAATCACACTTGACTTGGAATTTAAAAAAATTGTTTTCTTTGTTGATTCAACTTGATTGTTTATTGATGAAGAAAAAAGGACAAAAATTAATTGTATAAAAACCCAAAGATATTTGGAAAAAATTTACGAAAAATGTAATATTACATGTATATGGATTACGATTCGATTTAATTTTGTCAAAAAATTTCGTATAAACAGACGTATAAAAAATTGTAATAAATATATAAAAACGAAGTAATTATGTTTTGGCAAATTCGCAACGATCACTCGTTCGATTTTTTTTTATCTGGCCCATCGCCAATCCAACCACGGCAGTTAATAGATCCACAAAAACATCTTTGCGCCTCTTTTCTGGAATTTTTGAAAAAATTGGTGTAAAAATTAAAGTTCATATTTTCATTTCAAAAGCATATTTACCCATAAAGTTTGAACTGGTAATCAATAGTAATCTCCTCTCTGGGCTGAATTGGCTGCTTACTGAAAATACCAATTCGATCATTTCCATCAACAATCCATTTTTGAGCTTCACAGTTCGGATCACACGAATGATTAATGAATCGCGCCAAATTTCCTTTTCTTGTAGCATCTATGATGCTGTCAGTGCTCAGAGCCATAAAGTAAACATTCATTTCATCTGAATAATTTTTAGCGCGCTTTCCAAGCATCTTTCTATTCACAATCTCGCCAACAAATTCAATAATAAATTCATCAGGTCTTATGTATGACGTTGCCAATAAACCATAACCTTTTTTTTCTGTTTTAAATACGTCGTATGTTGAATTTGTATCTTTTTTAAATCTTTTGTTTTCGCAATATTCACCAAGAAGACATTTTGAGCTACACTCGATTAAGGAGAGTCTGTTTAAACAATTATCTACGCAACCCATTTGGCCCCTTTTTATTTCAGTTTCTGAGAGAGAACAGTTGCAGATCATGTCTTTGTAGTCACTACAATGTTTTTGTGCAAAACGATATTCATTTTTAGTTATACTAATGAACAATTTCATCGCATTTTCACGGTTCTCAAATCTCTCTTTTTCCAACTCTCCTTCACTTTTCATTCGAACTTCCAGGTCATCACCAACAGTTTGAATTTTTAGATCTTCTACACAAGTTTGAATTTTCAGTTGTTCCAAATTATTTATAGTTGAAATTCGTTGTAAATCGATCATTGGGTTTTCAAGCAATTGTTGATTTAATGGATTATCTTCTGCGCATGTATGTGTGTGTAATCTTATGATGTTGACTAATTCTTCAATTTTTCCATCGTCCCACTCAACTAAATTATCATTTTGTTCGACGGTTCCATCAAAATTATCCATTACTAAAGATTACACTCGTGCGTACTATTCTTTTCAAAAGATAAACGAATACTGATGTGTTTGACATAAGCGTCTCGACCCCAGGGCGACAATGTATAACGCTTGCTAACAAACAAGCATTGTGTTGTTATACGTTTTGGTCTCAAATTTCTCTTGTCGTCGTTTTTTTTCAGTATCAAAATTTTCTCATTTCTGTAATAACAATACTCATAACACCATATCGGAACACGGATAAAAACAAACGAATTTATTTGTTGAATCATTTATTCAAATCCATCATTTTGTTGTTATTTATTGTTTAATACATTGAAAGTACCGATGATGACAACACGATCACTAACTGCAAACTAGAAACATTATAAAAATGAGAGTTTAACAGAATTTTCAAGTATTGACGTCTTTGAATCAAGTTTAAAATGATTTTTGTGAATGTAAGCTCCATTGTAACAATTGGAAGCTTCATTGCAATGACCATGGGTCATTAGTGGCCATAATAACCACTGTTGCGACGACGGTAGTCTCGATCAAGATCTCGACGGTCTCGGCCAAGGTCTTGACGGTCTCGACGGTAACTGCCATTCGAATTGTAAGAACGGCTGCGTTGACGACGGCCTCGACTGTTCGAGCGGCGACCTCGACTGCGTGAGCGGCGACCTCGACTGCGTGAGCGGCGGCCTCGGCTGCTTGCACGGTTTTGACGGCGTCTTGGACTTCGAGTACGTGATCGGGCATGACAGCCGGGAATTCGTCCGTGAATATTCATCACATGGCGTTGCATAGTGTGGTGTGCAACGAACGACGAATAACAAAATGGGCAGCCAAATTCCTTTCGAATGGGCCGATTCATGGATTCGATATACCAGCTTCGATGATTTCTGAACACATGTGGTTCAAATTCGCTCCTTTCGAGCCTTGCTTTGCACGCCGTTATCGGGCAATACACTATGTCTAGAAAAAGTTATTTGATTGTTAACATTGAATTGTTTGTTTTGAATAATGATTATATTGTAGTAAAAAAATTGAATGGTTAATAAGTATACCGTCGTCCATGTAGCTAATAAAAAAACGATAGAAGAAAAAATGAAAGAAAAAGAATAAAAGAAAAGAGAGAAAAATAGAATGTGTTAGGTTTATTAAAATGTATAATCCCAAACAAAACAAAATGAATAAATGCAAAGAGATGCAGGAGAGAGAGGAATAAGGACAAGCAAACATAAATTTACGGGCGTCAAAGCAGTTCAAAATTAAGTAGTTTTTGTTTATCACAATTCCGACTTTAAAATAATTGTCCTTGTTCACTTTGCTCACATCACATAATTCATTTTTTAAACCGATAAAATTAAAAAAAAAAATCTCACAAAAACCAAAGTTGATGTTTTTTCACTTTTGATCCACTTGAGATGAAAAAATACGTGTCTATCTTTAGTCCGCTTGAGATGAAAAAATGCGTGTTTCTTCTAACAACGTTTAAATCGAAAAGATCGTGAGTAGTTTTATTTTTGCCGATTTCTTTTTTCGTCAAATGTGGTTGTATCTATATGTTTGTGTGTTTGTGCATATGCACAAATCTAATGACCAAAATATATCAGCATATATGATTGTGTTGCGTTTGTTGAACCGAAATATGCTGTGTCAATGCACACTTTACAACCACATTCGAACAGCGAAACGCAAGAAGAGTCACAATCATCAATCGATCACAATACCCAAAATCCAATACGCTCTATTCCTTTTTCATAACTTAAGATGCTCTTGAATATTTTCTACCGTATCGAATTGTAGATGGTTGCTATTTTATCTCTCACACAACGGTAGATGAATACAGTTAATTCTGCGCTACCACATCGGGGCGGTGAAAAAAATACATCGATTTCTTTTATCAATAAAATGATTCTATAATTTGAAATTCGCAAATCAAACGGTTGCATACATCTCATCCAAAACACCAAAAAAACAATAGCGGTTTATATTTTGTTTTGTTTACTAATGTAAACAATTTAAATAACGAATGATACACCGACACACATTGTGTCCTTATAACTGTGGTTATCGTTTATAATGTTCATTATGATTTGCGTGTGATACGGTATTGAAAGTGAACAAATAAACAAATAGCAATCCGCATGTACATAAAATGTGTGTATAATACAATATCTCTACAGAATGAGAAAATACCACAGAATGTCACAATCATTTCATACAGTACCTTTTCGATGATATTTCTCTCTCCCTCTCTCTCGTTTAAAACTGATTAAAAAAAACAAATCACTGAAACCAGAGAAGAGAAATGGGAGTTAATGCAAGGAATGCAAAATCATGACATGACATTGAATTAACATTTCGTTGACAAAAAATAACTTTATGTTAATCTTATCTTATTACTTTTTGTAAGCAGCATAACATACGTAAGCAGTTAACATTAAAACAACTTTTTGTAATTTTTACAAATGGTTGTAGCAGCATGATACACTTCGTTAACATAAAAATAACATTTTGTAATTTTAACAAATGGTTATTTTTATGTTATTATTGCCAAGAGAAAAATAGAAATGTAATAAATCATATGATTCTTTATTATTTTTTCGCCTTTACTAGCCGAAAAGCAAGGGGTTTATGTGCGTGGAAATGCCATAAGAAATTTCGCCTTATTCTTAAGTAATGAGAACACTCTGACACATTTTGCCTAGTAAAGTACAAGTTGAAAATGGAAGATTTTGTAAATGGATAAACCAATAAAAATTATAATGTTGCGAATCACAGACACATGCATCAGTATTTCTTTTGTTTTGACTTACCCCAAAATAAAAACTTTAATCCAATCAACAAAATCAAAAAACGATCCAAAATTTTTTCAATCGATCTACTCCAATTACTTCAATTCCAATTCAGAAAGAGACACATTTGAATTTTTTGTTTCGTTTGTTTGTTTATTTAATGTTTTATTACCAAAACAACGAGAACTACAAAAAAATCAACGCATTGGCGTTTTTCAGTTCGATGGGTTAATGAATTTTTAAAAATTTCAAATTTTTTTATTCGCTGCCTGAATAATGTAAGTTGCCAATGATGCTGTCATCCATATCCAAATCAATAGTTACATTTTCGATGTCAGCTGATGGTGTCAAGTTGAAAAATGGAATTGTTGTATGCTCGAAGCAAGGAGCACTAGATGGTGGCAACGGTGTCGAGCTAGCTCGAGCATAAGTACGACGTGACGCTTGAATCGTAGTGTTTGGAACTGGGTCAACTTGGACCAAAGTGCTGGAAACTTGGTTTGATTGAACAAGTTTGCGACCATCCGGATTCGGCTGAATGCCGATGTTCACCAAGTTTATTGTCTGTCTCTTTCGACCGCGTGCACCGAATGGAATTTGTTTGGTTGTTTTCGGAATCAATGCAGCACCAGTTGTAAGACGACGACTGATTATTTTTCCAGCTGGTTTTTTCAAAAGATACTTTTCCATATCCAAATTACGTTCAATTTTCACCACTGGATCAAACAAGACATCATTTTCGATTGCCCAGTTTTTAATCGAACGGGTGATATGAATGTATTTGGAAAGCAATTGATTGCCTTGAGTGAGTTCGAGTTTTTCCTCGAGGTACGAAATTACCAATCTTGGAATTCCTTTTTTCGCATCAGCAGCTGTTATTATTTTCTGGTCCTCATTTACCCATTGACAAAGGTAACGCCATTCGTCACCTAAATCTGTGCAACCTGTTGAACAAATAAAAACGAAAATAAATAAATGTTTTATATTCAAAGAGTCGGATATTTGCTTTATATAAAACCTACCAATTATAGCTTTTGGCAAGCCGACCATGCTGTTATTCACGACAAGTTCGTTTGTTTCACCGGAAGAAACAGGCATCTGGAAAACAACAGCATTTTCCAAAAAGTCAATGAGCTCATTTGGCCAATTTTGGAATGCTTCATCTGATTCAATCAATTCAAGACTTTGACAATCTTTGAACTTTATTGCATATGCAATTTTTCCGGATTCAAGTAGAGCAACGCCTAAAACGAATAAAAAAGAAAATGTACATGATTTGCTGACATAAAAATGAATTTCAGAAAATTTTTCATATGCTCACCGACGATAAATTTGAGGCGCGATTTCTCAAAATCTTTGAGCAAATCGGGACAATTCATCTGTTCCAATGGTATCCATTTATTTTCCGATGAAGGAAAGTTGGCCCATTTCAAGCGATATTCAATCTAAAAATGAAAAAAAATTAGATTTGAAAAACGGTTAACCACGTGCATAAAACGTCTTTACGTCCTTACCTTTCCATTTTTCATTCGCTTCTTCAATATCTTTTCCACTTCATATTCATCGCTTGAATCCATCATTTTTAATCGAATAAAAAATAAAAATGAACACTTGATTAAATGTATTTTTCTCGATGAAAAATTTAATGAAAATTATGAGTTCGATATGAACACGTGTTGTTTCAATGACAAAAATTTAATGAAATTTATGAGCTGGATATGAAAATGTCTTGTTTCAATGACAATTTGCGTCGAAAAGAAAGATATTTCTCGAAAAATGTGCAACGATTCTTGCGTACATTTGTATTTGTGAAATCTAATTGTCGAAGTATGTCTACATTCGCAAAGCTTACAAATACAGACTCATCGACATGAGTGTTCATCCATCGACGATTTAAGAAACACGAAATAAAAAATACAAATACAAATAGAATTTATCTCACTCTTACACATTGCGAGATCGCGCATATCGTGAATAAAAGCCAATAAAAGCACAATTGTACAACGCCATCTGTAAAGCGCAATGATAGAACGTCAACTCATCGACAGAGTTTCATTACTCCTCGACATCAATTTAAATTAAATTCGTAATACGGTATTACTATAAATGTTTTTAAGCGGCATTTTTTATACATAAGAGATTAATTTTTTTAAACGATGGGAGAGCGGAAAAATAGGGCATATTGCCAAATCATCTCATGCATCAATAATCTGGGCACACAAAAAAATGAAGAGGCAATGTTTAGGTAATTCGGTAATTAAAGCATCTGAAATGTTTATTTTTTTAGTATCAAATTTTCCTCATGGTTTCACAAGAATTCACTTAAATCCAAAAGTCGTACATGTTTGACGTAGATCAGTATATTAATGAAGTTCAACCGTTGCAAGATCACATTGATTTAACTTAAGTTCTGTTTTCTTGGAATTTTGCTTATGTTTTGAAACATTTATTGTTTTTTATAGAGTGCCGGCAAAAGGCGACCAGCGCCAAAAATGGATTCAGTCTATTGAAAAACATCAACATTTTTCTGACGGCATCAAATATTTTAATGTCTGTATAAGACATTTCAATGAAAACGATATAAAAATGAAAGGAGAAAAAATCACGTTGAAATTGAATGCAGTCCCATCTATTTTTTTGAGTCGTGATAATATTGAAGTAGCTGAGTCTGTAAATGGTATACTAAGCAATGAAATTGTCGATGAACTCATTGAAAATAATAAAAAATGTGTTCAGTGTCCATATTTACTGACAAAAATTAAAGAGCTTAAGCATGAATTGCTACTGGCAACGACTCAACATTCAATTTCAAATCAAAAATTGGAACAAAAATTTTTAAAATCGACAAAAAATGCTTCAGATGTGACTCACAAACTGAAATTAGTCGAACAACAAAATATAAAATTCAAGAATACTTTAGATGAAATGCAATGTAAAGATATACTTTCGTTTTCAGAAAGAAATTTTTTTAAGGTACTTAAACAATTTCTTTTCATAAGTTTTTTATTATTTCATAATTTTCATCTATATTTTTTAATTTTAAGACATTCGAAATGCGAGATGTGGTAGAATGTTTATGTAGTGGGAGAAAGGGTCGAGACGCATATCCACCGATCGTCCGAGCATTTTGCATGTCATTGCACTTCATAAGCCCCCGAGCCTACGAATTTTTGCGCCAAAAATTTGGCAAACACATCCCCCACGCACAAACAATAAGACAATGGTATAGGAATAGTAATCTCGATGCTAGATCCGGCATAGGAATGCATGCATTGAATGTGCTTGAATCAAAAGCAACAAAAATGGCTGAAGATAATAAGCCGCTAATTGTTAGTCTGTCCTTTGATGAAATGGCCATTCAAAGAAATATGTCATGGTGCCGGGCGACTAACAAATTCATTGGAACCATTGACTATGGTACACCAGGTGAAGATATCTTCACCTTGGCAAAAAATGTCATCGTATATATGGCATGCGGTATAAACACCCATTTCCAACAGCCTGTTGGCTTCTATTTCATCGATTCATTAAAAGGGCACGAAAAAGCCGAACTTCTCCATGAAATCATTGAAGAAATCTCGAAGAGAGGAGTAAGTGTGGCTAATACTACTTTCGACGGGCATAGTTCAAATGGAAGCATGTGTGCGTATTTGGGGTCCAAACTGGATCTTAAAAACGGCGATTATTCATTTTTTTTTATCAATCGCCATAACAGTGAAAAAGTGTATATTATATATGATCCTAGCCATATGATAAAACTCATTCGAAATACACTTGGAACATTAGAAGTCATTTATGATGGAAAGAAAAAAATTAAATGGCAATACTTCATTGACCTTGTGAGTTATAGCACAAAAAAAACTTTTGGCTTAATTCACAAGATGAATAAACGACACATTGAATTTAAGGACAGAAAAATGCATGTACGAACAGCCATCGAAACTCTCAGCAAATCCACTGCTGATACCATGGAACATTTGAAAAACAACAATGTTGAAAAGTTTGAAAATGCCGACGCCACTATAAATTTTGTGCGAATATTTGATAAATTATGGGACATATGCAATACACAAAGGAACGGGACTGAAAAAATGAGCGTATTCAAAAGAGCAATTAGTGCAGATAATGCAGCTGCCATATTTAAATTTTTAATGAGCGCCAAAGAGTATATATGCGGCCTGAAAGTCAAGTCCAATCGAACCAATAAAATAGTATCAATCTTACGATCAGATTATAAAACTGGATTCCGTGGCTTTATAATAGACATCAATTCCATCATAGACATGTATCAAACCTACGTCGAAGATCGCCATTTAATGTCATTCATTGCCACATATAGGCTGTCTCAAGACCACCTCGAATTATTTTTTGGTAATTTTTTTTTTAATTTATTTCTTAAATTTCTCAAAAAATAAATAAATATATTCTCTTGTGTAGGCAAAATCCGTACGATGAACGGAAAAAACGACAACCCGATGGCAACGCTGTTTATATCTGCATACAGAAAACTATCGCACCAAGCAGATATATATATTTCAAACTATTCCAATGTTGCTAGCCAATGTACTTCAAATATTTTGACTGTTTCTTCGAAGCGACCAGTTGATGAAGGTTGTCGAAGTAATAATGAAGAAGTGGATCAAAAAGAAAGTGAAGAGGAGGACTGGAACGAAGCGATAGAAATGGAAGCGATGGAAAATTGGTCACATCTAACAGACAATGATGGTATTGGAATCACTTATATCGCACGGTCGTTGGAAATGCGTCTTTTGACTAGCCAAATCCACTGCTATTCATGTAAGCATCTTTTAAAAAACAGTGCAAAAGTTATTGATAGCATGTGCGTGAATATCCAAATCGGCAAGCCATGCATTAGTACATATCAGCTATGCAAATTAACCGACAAGACCATAAAAACCTATATCAATACTGGACCCAACTTTAAACAAAAAATTCTTCTAAACGTAATGAACAGTATTGATTTAGAGAAAATATTCCCCGATTTCAATGATACTGACCCAGAACATGATGTTGACCACAAGTATTATTTGATCAAATTTTTTATCGATGAATATACCAATAAAAAATGTGCTTATATTGCAAAGCAAGAAACTATTGCAACACAAAAAAGATATCTTCGGAATAGGCTGCGTAAGGTGGCTCACTTTTTGCGTCTTTAAACCAAGTTTCTTCTGCCATTTTGATGCCCATCGACAACACTCATCGTCCATCGACAAACAGTAACGAAGAGTATTACATTAAGTCTAACACAATCTCTAACATAAAGTTTACATAAAGTTGTTACATTATGTTATGTAAATGAGAGCATTTCATTGAAACTTATTTGTTTTGAACTCATTTTCAAATTAAAAAAATATTCGAACAAAAAGGTTTTGATAAAAGGAAATATACAGAAATATAATTTAAACACAATTCGAACAAAATATGATCAAACTGAATAAACTTCAAATGTCAATACTGAACGTCAGATGACGGTTGTACGAATTCAACACTCAACGCTCAAACGATCAATGCGGGATTCAATGTTAAAGCTTGTGTACTTGAAATAGCAACATAGAGATGGCGTTGCGGGCGACAAATCTCAAACAAAGCGACTTTG